CCAAGGGGGGGTGCCATCTTTCCCCGTGCAGTGTGTAAAAAAATTTTGATATTTTTTTAATTTTGTTGCTGCAATCCGCGATGGGTATAGGGGAAGGGAGGGGGAGGGAGGTTCTTCGAAGAAATTTTTATGTGGGGGCGGGCTCGGCCACCTTTCGCGACCTTTTTTCCCCTTTAAGATTTTTTTATTATATTTTTTGTAAAAACGGTTTGTTTTGGATGCCCCTTATAGTAGGGCAAAAACGTAGGAGTCCTCCGACATTTTTTTTTATTGTTTTGGGTTAATTTAACCCCCCCCCCCTCCCCCCCCCCCCCCAAAAAAAAAAAAGAAAAAAAAGAAAAAAAAAAAGTCTTTCTAGTCTAGATGGCCCTTTATAGTGGCTCTGAATATGTGAAGTGTGCTGACAAAAAGATCTTTCTGGCTAAAACCCGAGAAGTGCACGCCCATTATTTCATAACCCCCTTGTACTTACCATCCATCTACGTATTTTGAATACATAAATTTACTTGCATTTAAATTACTGAACATTACAAACTAAAATTGTAAATAAATCTACATAAGTATAAAGATATTTGGTTGTAAAATAATAAATAGAGTTTACATGTAAATGTTTTTGACACTTTATCTAATGGCAATGTTAATAAATGAAACATCTTAACATAGGTCTAAAGGTTTTATTCATTTTTATTTCTTACATAATGAAGAATGAGTGAGTGGATAATAAGAAGATGAAGAATGACAGACTGGGTGAACATAGATCTGGATTCTATGTTTAAACATCATTTATTTCTTATATTTATAAAGAATTAGGGGGTGGTGGCACTGACCAGACCTAGTGGACGCATTCACCAGCAAAGTGGATGCGTCACCAGACCAAAATGCAATGTAGAATGAAGTCTATTAAACACACAGAGATGATAACTAAGTCTGGTGATGTGTCCAATTCTGCCGGTCACGCCGATACTTTCAAAATTTGAATCGATACGAAAATAGCCGAATTATGGCTTTCTAAAGGCCTTAAGGTGGACGCGCACCTGACTTTACTCTACCCACACCCCCCAAAAACAGCCCCCCTCGGCCTCACCTCAGAGAAGCGGTGACAGAGGACACGATCTGCCCAACCAGCCGGTTGAGGTTAAGGAAAGTAGGTCGCTCCACATCCAGCTTCTTGCGACAGATCTCGTAGATAGCCTCGTTGTCCACCATGAAGGAACAGTCCGAGTGTTCCAGAGTGGTGTGGGTGGTCAGTATGGCGTTGTACGGCTCCACCACCGCCGAGGCCAGCTGGTCAACACAGAGCACAAATTTTTTGTTTGTTTTAATTTTTTTTTGGGGTGGGGGTGTTTGTTTGTTTGTTTGTTTGTTTGTTTTATTTTGTTTTTTCATTTCTAACGTGATGCATGTATAACATCGAGGGTTTTTTTCTTTTTCCTTTATTCTTTCTTTCTTTCTCTTTCTTTCTTTCTTTCTTTCTGTCTTTCTTTCTTTCTGTTTTGTTTCTCTCTCTCTCTCTCTCTCTCTCTCTCTCTCTCTCTCTCTCTCTCTCTTTTCTGCCTTTCTTTCCCGCACAGCGCATCTATCTAATTATTCATACCTTTACGTATTGTTATGAAGCTAGATTGTACAGGCAATGCACATGCATATATATTTAACAATATTAATACACACACACTTTCACGCACACACACACACTCACATTCACACATAAACACAGACAAACATACACACACATATATAATAATATGCTTAATAATATATTTTTCAACTTTTCGATCATGTGTGCGTGTGTGTATATGTCTGTGTCTGTGTATGTGTGTGTGTGTGTGTGTGTGTGTGTGTGTGTGTGTGTGTGTGTGTGTGTGTGTGTGTGTGTGTGTGTGCGTGTG